CCCCCCCCCGCCACCACCACCACCACCGACCGCCAAGCGCCGCCACGAGCCGTGCCGTGCCTCTCGATCTGGGCAGTCGTGGTTAATTATCAATGTCAGCGTAAAAGCGCTCACGAGGGACGCCAGGGAAAGGGGTGGATGATGAAAATGGCCGTTGACGCTGTCGCCCTTTTAACTAGTGTGGGCTTGCTTCCGCGGGGTTCGCCGCTGCGGGTGACCCGGCCCTGGGACAGCCAATCTGGAGCTCCTGATTGGGTCTAAGCGCGGGCCATCGGGTCATCGGTGTGCGGGCCGAGAGCCTGACGGGCGGAGCGGCCCTTGCAGAGCTGACGGGTCCGCTCCTGATTGGGATTGCTGAGGGGCTGGCGCCCCCCACTCCACCCTCGTTTGCAGGTAGTTGGGCGATCAGGTGACACGTCTCTCTTTTTCTTTCTCTCCCCCACCCCCTCCCAATTTTCCCCCAGCTTCCCGCTCTGGCTCTCATCCCCCCTCCCACTTACTGCGTCCCCACCCCTTCTGCCCCCAACGTCCCTCGTATCCCGCAGGACCTACACAACACACGGCCACACCAGCAGCCGCCACCGGCCCCACCACCCCACCTCCCTCGTGCCACCACACACTTTATCAAAGTGGATATATATTGTGACCTCTGAGCCCCGTGCGAACTAACCGCGTTACGTGGGAGAAAATGAAGCGCAGGGCTTGCGCTGGGGGGCGGAGGGTCGGGTGGGGACAGGGCTGAGGGGTGGGCTGAGCCTCCGCAGTGCAGTGCAAGCGCAGCAGCAGCCGCCCTGCTGCAGCTTGTGCTCGCCGCCGCGCCGCCCGCACCGGAGCGCCTGCGGAACGGCCGGGTAGGCAACCCGCCCGCGGCCATGCTCGACGGGACTGCCTACCCTCCGCTCGCGCAGGCGCTCCGCCCCATCGGGCGCGCTGGCGCAGGCACTGCAGCCGCAACCTCCCCTCGCTCCTGTAGCTGTCATCCTCCTGTCTTCCGGTCCAGTCTCCATGCTATGGGGCCGGGCCCCGCCACGAGCCCCGCCACGAGCCCCGCCACGAGCCCCGCCACGAGCCCCGCCACGAGCCCCGCCAACTTCCCAGACTGCCTTTCGGGGCCGCGTCGATACGCCGGCTGTGCTCGGGCCCGACAAGCCCGGCGCCAGCGAGACTACCACTCAGAGTTGGAAACTGTATAGTTGTGATGGGAGCGGGGCCGGGGCTTGATTGTACACCGGGCGACGTACCGCAGGCACGTCCCCGGCCCAACCAGCTACCCTGCTGTCAGAGTCAGGGCCGACGTTCGGAAATACACGACGTCACCCTGGCGGAGCAGAAACCCGGAAAGGAGGCTTCAGAGACACCCCGCGGCCATGCCCTTGCACCGCCCTGCAGCTACCCGCGGGCTGTCTCCGGGCAGGCAGCCTCTTTACGACCAGTCGCAGTCGCATGCATGTTCTCCGTCTCTGTCTGCTTCACCCCCCCCCCCCTCCGTAGAAGTCCACGGGGATGCGGCGACCAGCGGGAGGGGTGGGCGCGGGGGGCAACGGGCAACGTCCACCCCTGCTGATGCGCCCTCTGCCCCGCTTCCACCAACGGCGGGGGTAGGGGAGGCACAACCATAGAGTGAGAGAGAAGGAGTGTCGGGGGGAGAGAGAACATCTCACCCCCCGGACGCAAGCCCTCTCCGCTGGGCGCGCCGCGCGGTTCCCCAGCCCCGCTCCGCGCTGCCGGCCGGGTAGTTCCCGCCAGTCCACACAGAGCGCAGCACACGCCGCAGCCGCGCGGTCCCAGCGCGAGTCTCGGGCAGCCCACCACACGGGCGGACGGTACGGTTTAGGCCCGTCCCGACCCGACACGGCGCTCGGCTCGAGTTCGGGTCCGACCCGAAGTGGAGTCGGCGTGTCGGCGGCTTGCCTCCCGCCTCCCGTCTCGGCAAAAACCTGTGCGCGCAACAACTCTTCGGCACGACACGCGTGCCCGCCGCCCCCAGCTTCCGTGTCGCGAGCCGTGCGCTGCCAGGCACGACAGGCACGGCAGGCACGCTGAGCGTAAGGCCGCCGCGCTGATACTACGCCCGGCGCCCCCGTGTGTGAGTGTGTGTGTGTTTTGTTGTTGTTGTCGCCGCTGTCAGCTGACGCCCCCTCCCCTTCCCCTCCCGCGCCTCAGTGCGCATCGCGCCTAGACGGGACGGGTTAGACACTAGCAGCCGGCTCGTCGCTACGCCAGGCCACGCTACGCCACACCACACCGTCGCCCGCTGCCGCCTTTGCCTGCCGCCTACGGAGAGACGGACATCACATCAGTACAGCCAACCTTGGCCTTGCGCGTGGAGCGGACTGGTGCGGTTCAGCATCGCAGCCCGCGGACCTGGCCGTGCCGGCCGTGCCCTCGCCTGTTGACACCTCGCCCGGGTCCAGGGCCACGCGCCCGCCCCCCAGTGTGGCGAGCCGAGCGCTCGTGTTGGCAGGCCTTCACGTCAAACAGACTCGTCGCTGACCAGTGATCGTTTTGTCTGAACCGCCTGACCCATTGGTCGCCCGTCAGCTCGGACTTTCCTGTGACCGCAGTGATTGTGTGTTGGCAGCACTGACTGTCAAACAGACATGACTGTTTGCCGGTGATCGTGTAGGCAGAACTGCCTGTCAAACAGACGCCTCTGTAAGGTGGCTTCGTCGCCTCTGCCTGGTCCGGGCGGACGTCACGGCCGGAAAAGCCATCCTGTGTCCAGCGAATCCCCGTGCGTCCCTCCAATTTGCGCGCGCGTGTGTGTTTGTGTCGCGAAGGGCGTCCTCTGCTCGGCATGCAATTGGATGAATAGCGGCCACGTGATGGAGGCCCCCCTGGCGGTCGCCGAGGCCTCGGGGACCGAGACGAGGGCCGCGGCCTCCGCGGCCGCGGCCTCCGCGGCGACCTCCGAGTCCCTGCACGCCGCCGCGCCGTGCATCAGCGTCATCACAACGGCCCCCCGCTGCCCGCGGCCGACTGACGGCGCACAGGACCATGCGGAACCGGCCAGCTCGGGGAAGTGCCGGCCGGCGGCCACGGCTGCGACGGAGTGCTCAACGGCGTCAACGGCCGCCGCGCCCGGGACAAGCAACGTGCCGGTGACTTCCTCGACGACGTCGTCGGCACCCTCTTCCTCGGCGGCCGCCAGCGACGGCAACTACTGGTTCGCCCGACCCGCAGTCGCCGCCTCACACCCGCCCGCGACGTCGTCCGCCGCCCTGGAGGCCGCTTCAAGCGCCGCTTCCTTCGCCTCGCGCGCAATCGCCCAGGGCGTTATCGGGCCCCTCGCCCGGACCAAGCCCGTCATCGTCGCCATGGAGACCGTGACTCACGAGCTGACTTACGGTGAGTAGTGGCCGACATCATGCATCCCCTTAGCGTCCTCGCCTCGCGCACCTGCGCGGCGCAGTGGACAGTAGGAGCCGGTCGCGCGCCAGCACGGTTGGACCGGAATAGCCCCACGGGCAACGAGCCGCTGGTCCACCTCGGCTCGCCTTGGCCCCACCCACGGCGATGGTGGAGCTGCAGGGTGCGGGGCGGGTGGAGCCTTTCATGGGCAGCCCTAAGATCGGATGCAGCCAGATCAACTAGTTGCTGTACGCTAGCTTGCTTAATTTGAAGAGTACTTAATAACTATATCAGGATCACGTGGCACAATTTTGCCGCGCTGCCATAGTAATACGCTGCCAGCCAAGCTGTTACGCAAAGTTAAGCTGTCCGGGTCGTCAGCAGGGCCACGGCCCGGCCAGAGCTTAATCACCTGACCTGCAAGAGAGAGAGGAGGAGGGTTGGGGGGCAGAGAGTAAAGCGGGCATGGATTAGGGGTGGCTGTCGCACGTGCAGTCATCGCGAGGGTTGCGAGGAAGGGAAGAATGAAGCGTTGGAAAAGAAAGGAAAAAGAGGACTAGGTGGAGGGGAGAGACCAGGAAACAGCAAGTGAGTACGAGGGGGAGGGAGAGGTGTACGAGGGCGCCGGAGTTGAGAGGGGTGGGGTAAGAGTGTAAACTCGAAGAGTACTGTGCTGTGCTC